ATAATAATAATAATAATAATAATAATAATAATAATAATAATGAGTAAAACAATTAAAATGAGCAGAAATTCAAGAAAAAGATGCAATTTGTTGTAAAACTGATAATAACAGACAAAAATAATAATAATAATAATAATGAGTAAAACAATTAAAATGAGCAGAAATTCAAGAAAAAGATGCAATTTGTTGTAAAACTGATAATAACAGACAAAAAAGCTAAAATGTAGCTGAAAAATGAAATTAAGAAAAAGACGCTGAAGGAGCATATGTTTGCTGAATTAAGCAGTAAGAAGCTGAAATGATCACAAAGGTTAATTTAGCTGAAAAATAGCTCAAATTTGAGAAAATAAAGCTAAAAAACACAAAAAACAGCTTAAGTTTGCAAAAAGCAGCTTAAATTATCAGAAAGAGGAACAAAAAAGCAAGCAGAATAGTAAAAAAAGGTCAGAATGACAGCTAAAACAGCAGTAAAAAAGCTAAAATCAGCTAAATAGAAGCTGAAAGAAGCTTCTATTTAGCTGATTTTAGCTGAAAAATGAAATTAGGAAAAAGACGCTGAAGGAGCATATGTTTGCTGAATTAAGCAGTAAGAAGCTGAAATTAACACAAAGGTTAGTTTAGCAGAAAAATAGCTCAAATTTGAGAAAACAAAGCTAAAAACACAAAAAACACCTGAAGTTTGCAAAAAGCAGCTGAAACAAGCTTAAATTATCAAAAAGAGGAACAAAAAAGCAAGCAGAAGAATAGCAAAAAAGCTCAAAATGACAGCTAAAACAGCAGTAAAAAAGCTAAAATCAGCTAAACAGAAGCTTAAAGAAGCTGAAAATATAACAAAGAAGTAAAAAAATAAGCCAAACCAAAAAGTTCAGTAAAGATTTGTGAGCATTTTAAAGGGTTTTAAAGATGTTAAAGGCATCTCTATATATTTTCACTGAAAAAAATTGCAGAAAAAGCTGAAAATGTTTACTGAAATAGGAAATTTCAAAGGACTGCCTGTCCTGAAGGAGCTGAACGTTTGATATATAAACGTTTGAAATAAAGCGGAACAAGATCCGTTCAGAAAAACGAAGAGATAAAAAAATCTCATCTAAAGGTGTTGAAGAGCGACAGAACATCCTCACCGCGTCCATGAGCGTGAACTGCTCGGCCACCATGATGGGGTCGAACGACAGGAAGCTAACCGCAGGAAGCTCGTCCTCAAAGCCGCTCTCCTCCTGCGTGGCGAACGGGCAGCCGATGTGTTCCCCTGAAAAACAAAACAACCGAACTTTCACAACACTGCCTTCGTCTGAGCTCAGACTGAACACGCTTCCTGCTCTTCTTCCTCCTGTAATCTACATCATCATTTACAGCCCAACACTCCCTGCCCTGTGGTTCCTCTCCTGTCCTGCCTTCATACCATCAGGATCAGGCTCACACTGCTGTCTCCGGTGGAAGTGGGCCAGCAGGTTGCGGGCACGGCGCTCCAGGTCGGAGCCGGGGAAGTGGTGGTGGAGGTAAGACAGCAGCTGGTGAAGACATTCGTAGCTCGGGGGGCTCCAGAAGTCCTCCGAGTACTGGTCCAACCAGGCGCCCAGGATGGACGACACGGTGCTACAAACACACAGACGTAAACCTGAGATTAGCTTAGCTTTAGAGAGCGATGCTAACCACAGTGAGAGTTCAAAGAGAAGTAAACACATTGTTTTCTGTTTTTATTTCTCAGTTTAACTGTGATTGGTTTGACAGGAGCCTCACAAAGAGACACACATGATCTCTGCCTGTAAACTTACTTTCTCAGCTCTGTGCGCTCATCCTGGGAGACTCTTTGTGCTGTAGCAGCAGGCACATTCTGTAGCTTCGCATACCTTCAAAATAAAATAAAGAAATTAAATAATTTATGACCCATCATATTGAAATGAGGATTAAGTCAAATTTGGTCAGAATGACCTGATTACATTTTCAAATTCCTGCTTTAAAAGTTACATTTTGATACCTGGATCATTCTGATATCATAAGCTTATTCAGAGATATGTTGTTCTAGAGGGATTAGATGTTCTTTTCTTTTGTTT